AGGAAAACAAACTGACAGAACAGAGCAACAGGATTAGATTAAGTCAATCAGTTGGCTTGAAAAGGGGTCAGGGAGAGGTAGGGCAGGTGGGGACGCCAGCTACCTACTCCAGACACACCCCTCAATCTGGCTCAGTCAGAAATCTGCTTAAACTTTACAGTCGGCCCTCCCCACCCTCGGATCCCAACTGTGGATCACGTAGTGCTGTAGTGTGCACTCATTTAAAAACAAAACCTGCATATAAGTGGATCCATGCAGTTGAAACCCACATCGTTCAAGGGTCAGCCGTACTTGCAAAAACAACACTACTATCTTTAACTGTCTCACCTTCTGGATCTGCACCGCCAACTCTCTCGTTGGAGCCAAGATCAACGCCTGGGTTTCACGAACCTGGTATTTATCAGAAAACAGAGAATCTCAGTATTTTCAAGGTAGGCAGCACTAACTCAGACTCAGATCTACTTTGAATATTATCTCACGTTAACCACACATCTGATCTCAGATAAGCAAACCTGAATGCTACTTAAACCGCAAATCCAGCAATAATGGGGTATACTGGTCAGGATTCTTGTTTGCAGACAAGAATTCCCACTAGTTAAAAGAATCTCCTGGTTTAAGTAAAAAGGAATTTATGACAGGATATTAGCTCAGATACTCATGTGCAATTAAGATTCTTAAAAAATCCGTTGAGTCAGTACAACTAGAGATGCTCAAGAACTTGAAACCTGCAGTCACAGAGCCACAAGAAGCATGTCCTAAGACGAAAGAGGTGTAAAAGCATTAGATTACCTGAATGTCCAAACACTGGAGGACAGAAATACTGAAGGTGGCCGTTTTGCCTGTGCCAGACTGAGACCTAGTAAAGAAAACAGATAAACGGGACTTAGAATGAGGGGCTGCCGCCCTGCTCCTGCCCCAGCATTGCGGGCGGGCGGCGGGCAGAGCACCTGGGCAGCTTCCCCCAACCCCCTCCCCACCATCTTATCTGCAAAGGGCTGGGACTGAGGCACAGTGTCACCATGTGATAATGTGATATGGATCATAAAGGTGGCCTTTGCATTAAGGGGTAATGGAGCTGCAGAATCTGTAACTTCAGTGGGTATTTATATATAATTTATATAATTCTTTTCTACGATTTCCAACTTATTTTTTTGTAAATGAGTCTAAAAATTAGGCCATGGTGGGAGGGATAAATTAGGAGTTTGGGATTAACACATACACATCACTATATATAAAAACAGATAAACAACCAGGACCTATTGTATAGCACAAGAAACTATATTCAATTTTTTGTAATAAGTTATAATGGAAAAGAATCTTGAAAAAATACACATATATGTATGTATACGTATAACTTAACTGCTTTGCTGTACACCTGAAACTAACACTGTAAATTATCGACACTTCAATAAAAAATAAAACTTTTTAAAAAATTAGGTAAATCAGGAGTAAAGCTATTAAAACAGTATTATACACAATTCCATATGCCAAATGATAGATAAGTAAAGCTGGCTAAAAAAAGAAAGTGTTTTAGAATTCAGGACACAAAAATAAAAACAAACAGCCAATGGCTGAAGTCAAGGCAAGCGCTGGCAGCGGTGAGGGACTGGAGAAGGCGGCCGTCCCACAGCCCGGGACTTTGCTGAACGTTGCTGTGCTAACTAGCATCTGACTTCCGCTCTGCGTGAACACTTACTGTGCGATGACATCTCTCCCTTTAATTATCTGCTTAATAGCTCGCTGCTGGATTGCTGATGGTTTTTCAAAACCTGTAAATTAAAACAAAAAACCGAGCTCTAACCACTAGGACAGCATGCTGACAACCATACACTGGAGCTCCTTGGGGCAAGGACGCCATCTTTTTAAAGTCCCCCACTGCTACCTAACCCAACATGCAACATACATTAAGCTCTCAAGAAACAGCTGCTGATGTGGAATCTAAAAAAAATGGCACAAATGAACTTATTTACAAAATAGAAACAGACTCACAGACATAGAAAACAAACTTATGGTTACAGTGGCGGGAAGGCAGGGAGAGGGATAAATTGGGGGCTCAGGATTTGCAGATACTAACTACTATATATAAAATAGATAAATAACAAGGTGCTTCTGTATAAAACAGGGAACTATAGTCAATATCTTGTAATAACCTATAATGAAAAAGAATGTGAAAAGGAGTATGTATATATGCATAACTGAATCACTGCTTTACACCAGAAACTAACTCAACATTGTAAATCAACTACACTTCAATTACAAAAAAAAAAAACAGCAGCTGAATGAAGTAGGCTGAAGGGGATTTTTATGCTAACATGTGACCTTATCCCTACAAAAATCTCTATAAAAGGAACATTGTTGCAAAACATAGAAACCCTAGTTAGGTCAAAAAAATGTTAATGGTGGTTACCCCTGGAGAATGTCGTGAGGGAGGCTCATATTTTTCTCCAATTATTTCTGTACTGTTTGACTGTATTACAATAACCTGCACTGGGTTTGTTGTTGCTGAGGTTTTTTTTCATTACTTTTTAAGTTAAAAGAAAGGAAAACAAACCCATCAGTGCTGTAGTCACCACTCCCTGTCAGCATTAAGTCTGCAGGTGGTTCCCCGACTTAATCTAGTGCTCTTGGTTATACTCCCTCCTGCCTTGATGCAGCTCCATGAAACTACACCACCATCCCTCTATTTTCCAAGTAAACAAACAAAACTTTATGTACAAATAACATAATAGCAAATATAACGGATGATTTAAACCCCTCATGATGACCCAGCACACGCATGAGAAACTAAAGAGTGTTTTAGGGCAAGGATGCCTTGGATGCTAAAAGGTAGGTAGAGCTGTCAGCCTCATTACAAGGCATCTCCCGTTCCCTCAGCACCTTCTCTTTGCTAAACTGTCTCGACATCAAGGACAGTTGGAGAAAAGATGACCCAGCCCCAGGCATTAAGCACTGATGCTGATAACTCCCATCTGCGTCCCCAACCCCACCTCTTTCCAGGCTCCCAACTTAGACAGACGTCCTGACATCTCCAACTTGATGGCTCACAGGTCCCTCAAGTTCCCCGCCTGAGCAGAGGGCAGCATCACCCACTGGATTACTCACACACCTGGGAATCACATGAATCCTCTTTCCTCTGCTGCTCACATTCAACATGTCAGCAAACCCTGTTAACACTCTATCTCCACCACAATACCATCGTCTCTCTTTTGGACTGGAGCAAAAACCTCCAAACATCTCCCTGCTTCCTCTCCTGCCTCACCTCCCCCGCATATCCACGGGCACCCAGGACAACCTCTGTAACTGTAAACTGATCCTGTCACTTCCCTGATTAAAACTCTCCGAAGGCACCCACTGCACTTAGAAATGAAATTCAAACTCTTTATCACCCCACACTATGCTTTTCAAGATCTGGTCCTGCCTCCCTCACCAAACTCACCCCTGGGCTCCCAGGTCAGGCGGATTCTTTCCGTTCCTGGCTGGAATGCACCCAGCTCTGAGCTGCAAGGCCCTGGCACTAGCTGCTCCCTCTGCCCAGTTCTACCATAATCTTCTCATAATGGGCTCCTCAGCCCAGATCTCGGCTCAAATGTCACCCCTCCTGGAGCCCCCTTACCTATTTGCTCTCCTGTTCTAACTTTCTCCGCTCCCCCAGTTTCAATTATCCCGCTTTATTTTCTTTGAAACTATTACCACTGCCTAAAGCAATCTTGACTAAATATTATTTTTCCCCAAATATAAGCTCCCTAAGGGCAGGCATCTGGTTCACTGCCTAGCCCCCAGTGCCTAGAGCCACGAACGTCCCTAGCACCTAGCAGATACAACAAAGTTATCCTCTAAATCATTGACTCCGAAACGCAGGGAGGACTCTGCGCCCTCTCGGGACTCAGCACGGCGCTCTGCCCGGAGGACAACACCCGAACCCGCCGACAGAGAGGCGGGGCGGGGATGCATGCTGGGGGCGGGGGTCGCCCGTCAGCGGCCCCACGACTCGGCGCCAACCAAAACGCAGGCCTTTGGAGCCTCCAGACCCCCATTCTCGGGACCCACCCCCGGACCGGGCTCCCGCCCTCCCTGAGGGCGCCCCCAGCCCGAGCGCCCCGAGGCCCGCGCCCACCGACCGTAAGCGTAGATGCCGCGCAGCAGGTCCTCCCGCAGGCCCATGGTGTCGAACGTGGGGGTCACGTCCACCTCCTCGCTGGTCTCGAATTCCACTTTGGTCATATCTTCCTCTTTGAGCAGCCGCTTCCGCGCCGAGCCCGAGGTCGCCATCGTGGCCGTAGCCGCCATGATACCGAGCGGGCCGACAACCGAACGCGCGCCGCAGAGGAAAGCGGAAGTAGGGCCCGCGCCGCTGCCGCCGCCAGGAAATGACGCCATCACGCGCGCGCCCGTGCGTACGAGCGTGCGCCGAAGCCACGCCTCGGAGGGGGCGGGGACTCCTGGTCACGTGAGAGGGAGAGGGCGCTTGCCTCCGGGAGAAAGGCGGGGCTCCGCGGGATGTGGCGGGGCCCCGCCCACACCCGGAAAAGGTGCGG